AAAATTTAAACAGTTAACTTCGTTCTTTTGTTTTCATGTATTTAAAACTAGCATAATAGCAAATATTAAAACTTAATCGGATTTAAAATAAATTATTATTGTAAAAATTAGTATGAACAATTAGTACTGATTAATTAGTACTAATAGTATTTCTCCCCCATCGTAACATCTGCTGAGGCAAATGCAACTGCCAAGCACAAACGTTTCAGGGAATATTTTAAAAAACTTTCCATTTCAGACCTTACTGTTCTCTAAGCCTCCCAAACATAATATCAAGTCTCCGAACACGACATTTCAAGGACATGAAGGTATCTCCAGAGAAGACCACCATATACTACTCCATATACAGATATTTCCCCTAAACCCAATTAAAGCCAAAACGCATTTTTTACTGCCAGGCCTTTCTAGCTGTACTATTTCACGGCTAACCGCCAGACGATATCCTGTACAGGCGCCAGAACTCGCAAAATTCAGCCTGCAAACTTTTGGTAAAATTTAGCACTGGTATAGACACAGCAACAACAACAGTTTTCTCAAAAAAACACTGTTTATAACATTTGACTATCATTTGAAATTTTTATTCCTTAAAAAAAATAAAAAAGACTTGTTAAGTGTTAAAAAGATTGCACATATCAGTTTATCTCCCTTTGCTAGATCATGTTTGGCGTTAGAATCTTATTTTGGTTATACCTTGCCTGAAAATAACTTGTGATCAACCTAACACTAAGTTAAAATTTACTCAGTTCATTAGACCATGCGTTGAGCTATAGTTAAATTCGAAAGCAGTCCGTAGCAGGAAAATTACTGTTCAGTTTTATCCATAATTTCAATTGCTAAAATCATAAAAGCAGGGGGAAAATTAGGACCAAATCAAATTATGAAATCCAACAGTCACAATCCGTACGAAGTTAGTTGCGTTGCAAGGGTACCCAGACAGATGAATTTTTACTTAAATAGCAGCGGTAAAAATGCTCTCGTTATTTTCTTCCATTTTTTAAAGCATAGAAAATTAGTCATTAGGTGTAGTTTAACATAGATAGGCACTATTCCTCATAGTTTTATTATTAATTTTAAATTATTGAAAAAATTAATTTGACATGCCGGCATTCATCTTAGAGAACATATTGATACTTAATGATAGTTATTGAGAAATATTAAAAACATAATATAAATATGCGGCAAATTATCAAAAGCCGAAGACTAAAATGTATTTATAGTTTGTTTGAGACAGTTTATATTAATTAAAAAAATAAACTTCTTATATTAGAGCCACTTTAAGGGTTAAAAAAATAGATTAAATAAAGAATATTCATTGTTCAATAATAATGGCAACGTTTGTTCTTTCGAAAGTAATACGTTTTTTTTAATTGTCAACGACATAAATGTCAAAATTCACAAACTGTATCTATTATCAAGAGCTTATTTTTTCTACTTCTTGTTCAAACTACTTTTATAAGCAGTTTCATATAAGGAAAATTCACAAAATTTACAAATTGTATTATCAAGAGCTTATTTTTTCTACTTCTTGATTTGTCCAAACTACTTTTATAAGCAGTTTCATATAAATAAATAAACAAAAGGAAAATCTTCTATGTATTTAATAAATATGTTGAGTGGCTGTCAAGACTTCCTGCTTCAATTGCTAGTAGATGTTTCAATTGTTAATATTGACAAGGTAATATAATCCATTCCATGAAAGCAACGATTGAGGACCTGTTACAAAAATACAGTTAAAGCAAATAAAAACTTTGATAGCAGATCCCTTTCTCTGTTACATTTTTGCAAAACAATATTTATTTATAGCTGCACTAATTACATAAGAGTTAATAATGAAAAAGAACAAGCAATTTATAGAATAAACCTTTTCTTATCAATTTTGAACCGATATTAGCGATAGATATCGTTTTGTATCTCATCATCTGAGATAAACTTTTCTAATCTAGGAAAAGATATGATAAAGAAAAATTCTAATTGCAAGAGCGATACTTATACTAAGAGAAGAGAGCCATCCAAACTTTCAATCTTTGTAAAGAATAATTGTCGATAATTGGTGTTATAAATAGTATGAGTGCAGAGTGAACAAAATACATAAAAGAACCTAAACTCAGTAATACTTACCGAGTTATTCTAGTTTATTAATTAAAAAAATCATAAAAGGATTATAAACAAAAGCTAATCAGTTAATTTGTCGCCATACATAAGTTCAGATAATGGCCGAATGGGGAAACTGATTGAATATTCTTATTCTAGTTATCTGCAAATGGGATGTTGAACAGAATTTCTTTTTCCCTGGAAGCCGCTTAATTTGAGAAAAGAACAAAGTCTGGATTTATGTCCAAGTATTGACCTCTAATGAAACAGTGCGGAACTAAACCAGCAAAGGTGACTGATGATATTGCCATGATATCCCGGAAGCCCATTCGAACTGACTTAGGATTTATGGGAACAATTCTTCATGGTTATTCAGTTCTTTTACCATTAGACGGAAGCTTGAATACGTGATTACTATTTTATTGGTAATCTATGGCATAAATTCAAATGTTTTCATTTTCGCTCATTTTCTTTTGATTCAATATTTACTTAATATTGAAGAGTCTCACTTGCCACACTTTCGGAGAGTTTAGCTGTTAATGTTTCGATTTTAATTCAATATGAAGAGTTGGCATAAAAAAAAGCAGGAAGTTAGTTTTTGCGAAGAGGCAAAGTGTTAATATTGCTTTTTTCCAGCTAATTGTGTGTCTCCTAAAATATTTTATCATGGGGAAAAATAACACCAAACGTAGAAAAAAAATTCATAGAGAAAAAAATCTGTTAAAGTTATCGTATACTGCTCGGTAATGACAATTCTTGTACAAAACCGTAACTTTGGAAATAAAAATCAAATTATAGAGTGTTGCAGCCATTCATTTGGTACTTTATACGGTAATATGGTAAAAGTTTACAGGAAATTTTTGCTTTTATAATTATAGTTCTTATTACAAGAAATTTAGTAAAAATTGTAAAACTGAAGAGTAGATTTAAGCGTTTTATACCATGATCTAAGGTATCATAATAAAATTACTAAATTTTACCACATTTACCAAATTTTATCGCATGTTTTAAAGTCATGTTTTATTGTTGATTTTACTAAAATCATTACCAAAGCTCTGCGGCATGCTTATAGGTGTTCCCATTAACTTTATGGCATAGAGCCAGAAGCACACTAAATTTTATCATATTCTGGATTTTTTGTCTACACTTTTTTCTCTCTTCATTACTTCAATTTGCTTATATACTTATATTTTTCAGTAAGTTAAAAGATTATATGCATAGATATTTAATTTAATTTATATTAGGTTACTACAGTGCTTACATAAATTTGTCTATTGGTGAACTACAATTCAAATGAAAAAAAATTTCTGCTTGAGGCAAAACAGACACGTTTTTAGAAATTTGTTTATTATATAGTTATTAAAAAGGCTATTTACATTGATAGTTCAATTGAAGTAAACCCATTTAGAAGGAAATTGAACTCCTTATTACATAATTTTTCCATCAGTTTAAAGACAGTCTGTACTGTATACACTGTGGCTCAAGCTAATTATTTCTGTTTGGGATGGTGAATTGAAATATAAAATTCTATTAGAATCTAAATTTATATAGGAAACTATTTGTATGACATAAATATTTAGCACCAAAAGAAGCTGCTGTGTGGAAATCAGGTGATATGAGCACGTATCAACAGGCCTAAAAAGGCATATGTGGTAAACTTCTTGTTTAACAAACCGTGACTGCTTGAGTGTTTGAGTTACTTTTACTGTCCATTGCGTGTGGTTTGATAACCGCTCTCTTGATTCAGTAGATTTATCTTATGAATTTAAAAGAGTTTAGATCCTTACAAAAAAGTTAGACCTTTTTTTTCCAAATAAACCATTTTTAGAACTGAGTAACATTATTTTAATTTTTACAAGCCCCGTGTTCTAAAATGAACTTTCTTACTTAGTCTTTTGCTGGCGACCTGCATTTTGATCCATCTTATCATGTTATAGTAAACGGAGGCAATGAATTTAAGTGAGGCATTATTTTTCGTTTATATCCATTTGTAAGTTCGTCAGAAGGAGAAAGGGGGCCAGATTTTAAGTCAGTTGTTTTTGCCAGATTTTGCCAGAATTGCCAGATTTTAAGTCAGATTTTAAGTTTGTCCCTAAACTACAGTTTGAATCTCTATGTAAATTTTCTGTATAAATAATCAATTTTAATCAATATATTTATTTGTTTCAAATCGCTATTGGAAAATAGGTTAATTAAATAAATCTTGGATCTTTTCAGTATAAATTAGTAATAATTTTTTTTAGAAATAAAAATAAAATTAACTTATTAGTTCTCATAATCCCATTGACGGGACAGGCTTCAAATATACTTCATAATCTTGCACGAATTAAGCAGCTTTAGTTTAACAAAAAAATATTTTAAATTTTTATTTCCTTAAAATTTCGTCAACTGCAACTTTCACGTACTTTCTGACTGATCATGTGACAACAACTTGTGCATAAACTATTAGCTTAATTTTTATTAACTCTTCCATTGCTGACGATTTAAGCAATTTAGTAAGAGAAAACCTCTGCGAGACAATAATTCCACAATGAATAAGAACGAAAAAAACTGCTTTTTTGGGGGGTCAAGCTTCAACACCAAACCAAGTTCAATCTCGGCAATTTTGTTACATGCATGAAAACCTTGAGGAATCGATGTTGGAAAAGTATTAACTTACAAAAAATTTAAAAATTCTTTTTTGCATCAAAACAAACCTTTGATTAGAGGCCAATTACATTATAAAAAATTTAAGTGCTTAGCTTGTGTTATTTAGTTACAGAGTTTCTTCAAATGTGAAGCTAGTTTTAAATCATAACCTTTTTTTACAAGTATGTTTTTCCACTCAACTCATTTTCAACGTTAATATCTTAATTCCTACACATGCGTATATTAAATATGAAAAGGTAAAAGTTGAATTAAGCCCATACCATAAACGCGCATTTCTTTTTCATCCATAACTGTCTGGAAGAAAGGATCTTCTGCAGTTACTTCACATCTGTAGGAGCCTTCCGAATGCAAGTCAGTCACGTGCATTTTAATACTGTTGCCATGAGGAAATTTTTCCTGTATAAAAAAAAAGAATAAAATTAAAGATAAACAATTAAAGTTGTGATTGATATTTAACGACATAATATGCAATGTTTATATAATAAATACACTGTTAAAATTTTCATTCTAAAATTATGGTAAAATAACTGTCAGCTGTCTGTCGATCCGATTAACCGTAACGTTTACGGTAAAGAACAGTTTTTTTACTTTATGGTTTTGAAACCATTTACAAAATGTATGGTTATAAAACCATGAATACAAAACTATACGGTTTTTTAACCATTTACAACTAGCATCTTTCAAAAACGTAAAAAAAGAATATTATTTATCTAGACATAGGAGCTTGGCTTTTCGTTTGGTATTGGGCTTTGGAGAGTGCTGGACTCTGGAGATTCTTCATGTGTTAAAGGGAATGGAGGAAATATCGTGGTATCAACACTAGGACTCGAACTCCAGTTCTGCCGGTCATGAGATTGACAGATTAGCCCGCTCGGCTATGATATGTACGCTGTTGCATAGAACTAAGTAGCCTCATTAGGTGGTTCTAATTGGTGAGATAAAATTCTTGTTGTTTAATCGTATTAGGTGAAAGCAGTCAATAAACAGTTTTTCTCAAACTTAGCAGTTTGATTACCATTTTGTTTATGGTAATTTGACTGTTTTGATTAAATATGGTGAAATAACCATTCAATAAATTGCTATTTAAACATTTTTTCCGAGAAATTTCTAACAGTGTATGATAAATATAATAGCAATGTTTTTTGTTCGAAGCATCAATTAAACAATTTTGATTGATATCCAAAATTGAAACAGATTTTAAATAACTCGGTAAACTGATTTAAAATAGATATTTTATTGCTATATTAAAAAGTTTTTATTATTTTATTTGTTATTATAACATTTGTGAAAAAACAAAATCTGTAACGATATGAAAATGCTTGGTGCTTCTAAGAATTTGAGTAAATGAATCGATGGCATACAAGTTACACGAGGTAATTTAGTTGCATGTCTGTTCAATGAAAAACTACCGCAAAAATGTTATTACTGCCATCTGTTGCTGTACTTTATAATTAATTTTGAAAATAAATGAGAATAAATTTGACTGGTTTCTTGAGCAGAACTTAGTAGATTGAGCATTTCTGAAACCTTTTCTTAATTGACATTTCAAACCTTTGTTTATTTTTGATACACCTAGTACACATGAATGTTAGCATAATATAGACGTAATAAATATTTCATTAAGAAAATTTACTTACACTGAGATGTATTCCCTTTAATTGATAAATTTGTCCTGGAGGTTTTTCGCTGGCAATATATCTATAAAATTCCAAATTGTTTTTATACCATTTTATAGAATAAAGTATATCTCCTTCTAAATCATAAGTGCAGTTTAATAAGACTGGTAGTCCACTTTCTATAGATGTTGGCACTTGAAGTTCAATCATCCTCAGAGCATCAGCATCTGAAATAATATAAAAACAATATACAACTTTACTGCTAACATATGAGATCATTAGTCTTAGACTTAATGTTCTTGACTTAACTAGAAGTAAAACAATATCTGTTTGATTATAAAGTAATTAAAAAAATTAAATAGAATATGTTTTAGATGAAAAATACTCTACCGCTTAAGGATTATTTTCCCCTCCGAAAAAAACTGCTAGTTCAGCGTAACTTAGAGAATATTATTACCTCCATCATGATGCCTCCGTGTCACAATATGTGTTCCTTGACTTCACGCGGTGTGCATTTCAATCTTTAAATCAGCAAAAACTCAATTATCGTTGTTTACTTTCTCATTTTAAGCAATTTCTATTGGTTTTTTGTTTTAAATTTTGGAAATTCGAGGAGAAATTCCTTTTAGAAGTTTCTAATTAATAAAATTTTTTCCAGCAATTTTGCCACCAAAGAAAATAATATTGAGGTTATTCTGGAAGGAACCACAAATTAAATACTATTCTTAAACGTGTTCGCTGTTTTGGGTAACATAATTGCTGTTTTTGATAACATGTCGAATCTATGGCATGAAGAAATTAAACTATGCTATACCTAAAAGCGGTCAAACGAAAAGCTAATCTGTTGTTAAAGGTATTCATTTGTGCTTAACTAATTCAGTTGATTTAGCTTCAGTTATTTAATCAAAATTAAATAGAATGAGATATGCATGACATATTTGTCCATTAGAAATTTCTAGACCAACACATAAGATTTTCAGAATTAAAAACCATTGATAATAGAACTGGAGGACTTCCAAAACCTTTAAAATATTGAACTGGCAAGATCTTGTGGCAACGTGAGCTGCACGGAGAAATGTTCTGAAGAAGACTAAAGTCCATTCGTATTGAACTAGAAAAAATTGCTATTTTTTATGCTCAACTGAATTTAGGTACAACCTATTACTAAAACTTTTTCAAACAATAGGTCTATAAAGGTATCCATACGGTGGAGAAAAATGATTATCTATTGAAATTTATTCAGATGGCAAACTCTGAATTACTTTTTACTTAGTCAAGAAGAAGGACCTACTATATCTACGTTAATTATTTCCCGGCAATCTATATGGATAAGTTTGTTTTACCATGTCAACTCTCAAATTGCCTCTTGCTTTTAAGTTATCCATATTTATTTGTTATTACAGTTACTAAAATAATGTTTAGTCCAGCTTATTACATGTTTACCAAATCTTCAGGCCTTAACAAACAATAAAGATTTAGGCTGATATGTAGCGCTGTTCTGTTTCGCTCAGATAACCTCTGATCTCGGGGAAAAACTGTTTACCACCCGCTACAGCTCACCTCCCCACGACACTTGATGCGTGTCTATGATGGGCCAACGAAAGCTGCAGTGCATATTACTATAAGATAGGAAGTAGATAACTACATCCACAGTTTTAACAAAAGTTTTAGGGGCTCTAGGAAACAAATTATTGCGGGCTCATCATCAAACACAGAAAGCCTTATTTCCATATTTTGTCGAATTTTTGAAGACCCTTAATACAAATTTGTAGTTTGTATGTAGATATAAAGAAATGCCCTCCAATCTTTTCATAAAAACTAATTACTATATTTTTTGTTAAGAACTTTGGTCAGTCTCTTGCCGCTCTCCCTTGAATATGGCTTTGACTACATCAGATGTAAATTATATGTAGAAATGTCTTAAATTGTCAGTTTTTAGGTCGAATAGTATAAGCTCGAACAGACCTTCGAATCGTAGCAACCCGGTATTACCCCATCTTTCCCTACATGATTAACTATTGAACTTTGCTAACTATTTTCGATGAACTGAGCAATACTGTACTAATGATAATTATTTTTAGATTCTGTTACAAACTATTAAACTCATTTTGCTTAAATTATTACATTTATCATTATTATTTATACATCGTTCCGGCCCTGTACTTTTTTACTTATAGTTATCATTCGCGTGCTTTTAGGCTATTTAAGTTCTAAAAGCATAGTTTCGAAGTCAAAATGTCAAGAAAAATGTGTTTAATTTTTTTAACCTTGATACACTGAGGAGAAAAAAGTATGGTCAAAATAACCAGAATATGGAAAAATGTACCACTTTTCTGCTACTCTGTGAGGGAACCGAGAAGCTCAGTAATTTTTACCGAAGCTCTTTGGTAATGATGTCGGCAAAATTAACAATAAAATTTGGCTTTATAATATGAGATGAAACTTGCTAATTTATCATGGGACCTTATAGCATGGCATAAAAATTATTTTTTCGGTTAAATTACTTTTCAGTATTGTATCTTTTGCAAAATGTTATAATTTTGAAAACCAATATTCCCTGTAAACCATTACCAAGTGAGCGGAAAAATTTCCAAACGAATAGTTTACCAAATGAATACTTTGGTATTATCTATCAGAATTATGTTTTGATTTTTTTTTTACCAGAAATGCCATAACCGTACAACATGGTAATTTTCCACGAATTTACCTCGCCATGCACAGATAATCCCAACAAGTTAAAATAGGCTCTTCGTCAATAACATCCAATATTTTTATTAATTGTTGAAATCTGTAGTGACATTATATAACATTAAATTAATAATTACTAGTGGCCTGCTCCCCCTGCTCGCTAACGCTCGCCAACCCCCGAAAATTACTACGCAATCTTATATGGTTTGCTTCGCAACCAAGCTCGCTTCGCTCGCTACTAACTTTATATTGCAAATGCACAAAATTCTAAGAATTCAAAACAATCATTCAAATCCATATAAAAACTTTTTTTCAAAAAAAATTTACATCTTTTTAGTAAATACTAAGTCATTAAAATAAATTTGAATTCAAATAAATGACATGTAAATCGTTAAACCTATTAGAAATGTGCTATAGTATAATTCGTGATATAAAACAAAAATCATCAAATAAATTCGTAATATATAAATTCGGGAAAAAAAGCGCTTTCGACAAATTACTAAAATAGAGATCTATCGACAAAGACTACTCACTTCTGCCTAACTTAATAGTATAAAATTGCCGCTGCTGATGCTCTCTGGTTATTTCAGTCTCCGTTTTTAAAAGCGCTATATGTTGAGCCACCTCAGTTAGATTTGGCATGTGACATTTTTAGCGGCAATCATTGGTCGATTCGCCGTGTAAGAGAAATAGTAACGTAAACAAAACAGAGCAAACGTTGCCACCGGCGGAAGAGAAATACAGCCAAAATGTGGGAGCCACGTAAGAGAATTATATATATTAGATTAGAAATCTCATTTTAGCACGCCTATAAATTTTTCCGCCAAGCTTGTAGAACGGTTTTAGCTAGAAGAGTCTGAAAAAAATGACATTCCGTTGCTTTTACATCATTCAATTTACAAAAAACAGGTACAAGAGAGTAATTTTTTCTAAAATAAAATAATCGCTATATACCTGGTATAAATTATCCCGGTAGTTTGAAACTCAATGCGTTACATTTTTTTAAGCAAATCTTTATTTTAAACCATACTACTGGCTATGCTATTAAATACATAACTTCCCTTTATTTTCATTGGTGACTTTATTTAGATTTATAAAAGTATGGTTAAGTTAGTCAATTAACATGTTATGGAAACTAACCTGTGTTTGCATGTAACGCATTTATAGAAATAATTTGTAACAATTGCGCTTCAAACACAAATGGTAAACGGAAACTCTTAGCATGCATGCTACTATAGAGCTGTAAATTACTTATCCTTGAAGCTATTGGTATTTGGTATGCAGCAAGACGTTATGTTATTCCAATGGAAAAATTTATTTTACAAATATTAGGTTCAAAAATTTTTTAAGTAGAAAAATTCTGTGCTAAATTTCAAAGTAATTGTAAGAATGGTATAGGAACTCATACGAAAAAAAAACCAGACAAATATTCATTTTATATCCGTATTGATAACTGCATGAGATTTCCAAGAACTACTTCTAGATATACAAACCGATAATAGACAGGAAACTTTTCACGTTTCATGGAAACTAATTTTTAACTTATGAACATTTATTTAATAAATAAAATATTTTTCGTATACATGTTTTAATCATATGCTTTGCACAGTAAACTCATAGAATCACTACAAACGGTTTTATAAGTCAATCTGTTTCTTTTTTTGTTTTTTTTTTTGTTCACCTTCCCTAAAACGAAAAATATTAAAATCTTGTGAAATTTTTATAAAACGTGCCGTTATTTATTACGCCGTGGCACTAAAAAAGAAATACGTCTTTTTCAATAGATTTTTCGACATGTGAGAGCTCAACCCATATTTTATTTTCTCTATTGTGTATTCGGGCTTTTGAATGTTGGGATTAATCTCTCTCTCTCTCTTTCTCCGGTTGGTAACGCTGTCGTCAGCATATAAAAGTGTTTTAAAAAAAGGAAACAAAAATTGCCTAAGCTAGCAAAGAGCAAAAACACGCTGTACCAAAAGTTGTGCAAAGAGTAAAAGAGCAAATTTCGTAAGATCTCGACACGCGTACGTGTGTAGGTATATGTTTATACCCGTTTATAAATTTTTCTGGTATTGAAGCTTATCTTTCGAAAAATATGATGGCAACGGACAAAAGAGAAATTTGAAGAAGGTAGAATGTTTGTGGGTAAATGACGGTTTGCGTTCTACTCTTCTGAAGGATTTTGTTTCTTATTCGCTTTATTTAGAGCTATCTTTTCAAAAAGGGTGTCATCTAGATATTTGATCTTAAAAAATATTTACTGATAACAATCCCTGTGATATAAAATAGGTTTTGAATAAACAGAGATTTTTTTTTCAGTATAAGAGAACATGTTATATATTCTATTTCTGAATAAAGTAAAAAAAAAATAGAAATGCAATAAATAAATTTTAGACAAAAATGAAATTAAAATATACCATATGAAAATCATAATAATTTGTAATTAATCTACTCAAACTTAATTTTCCATTCTTCGATTTTTGACCTTGATTTATAAAATGTTCTTTATCACATTTATTTCGCTTTAATTGCGTAAATT